CAATACACAAAGGCAGGTGTGCTTGTCAACTCTGAACACGGCTGAACCAATACTCATTCACTGACTGTCAAGGGAAGGATTTCTGTTGTTGCAAAGGCCCTTTTCTATTCTTTGTACAATAAATCTCATTTATGTAGCTTAATTCCTTTTTTTAAAGACAGGGTCTCATACATCCAGGACAGCCTCAAACTCAGCTATGCAGTGGAGAATGGCCTTGAACTTCGGATCCTTTTGCCTCCACCCCCCGCCCCACCCCCGACCCAGTGCTAGGATTATGGACATGTACCACTATTACGTGGTGCAGGGGACCAACCCAGGGCTTTGTGCAGGCCAAGCAATCACCCCACCAACTGGGCTACATCCCCAGCCCCTATGTAGATTAACCCTTAAAACAACATTTAAAGAATAAGTTTCTAATACAACAACAGTAATATTCAAACTGACACACAAAGAACCGGAGAGATAGCTCAGCAGTTAAGAGCATTGGATGCTCTGACAGAGGACCCAGGTTCAGTTCCCAGTACCCACATGGTAGCCCTCTGTAACTCCAGTTCTGGCCTCCTTGAACATTGCACATATAGGTGCACTTACATACATGCAGGGAAAACACTCATACATATCAAATAAAAATAAATAATTTTTTAAATTTAAAAAAATGATGCATGGGCTGGAAAGATGGCTCAGCGATTAAGAACACTGACTGCTCTTGCAGAGGACCCAGATTCGATTCCCAGCACCCACATGGTGGCTACAAACTGTCCTTAGCTCCAGTTCTAGGAGACTCCGAAGCCCTCTTCTGACCTCCACGACATTGCATGACATGGATGCACTCACATACATGCAAGCAATACACTCGTACACATAAAATATAAAAATAATAAATAAAATATTTTTTAAAGGTGCATAAATACTAACAACCAGAAACTCTACTCCTTTGGAAAATAATCTATCTTTTTGGAAAATATATCCTTTACACAGTCTGGCTCCTTAAATATTAATAGCTTTATCTCTATAGCAGTAAATATTTCTTCAAGATTACAAAAATGTTCAGGCAGCAAAGTGTATCAGGAAACCAGAAGACCCAATTAGGCCACTGTGCTGGATAGTTTTAGTGTCAACTTGACACACCTGGGTTGAGGTAGCCTCAATTGGGGAATTTCCTCTATTGGACTGGCCTGTGGCCCTGTCTGAGGGGCATCTTCTTGATGAGTGATGTGGGAGGGCCCAGCCCACTGTGGGTGGTGCCACCCTGGGCAGGTGGGCCTATGTTGCACAAGAAAGGAGGCTGAGTAGGGGCCAGGGGAGCAAGCCAGTAAGCAAGATTCCTCCATGGCCTGTGCTCCAGCCCCTGCCTCCAGATTCCTGCCCTGAATTCCTACCTTGGGCTCCCAGATGAACTGTGACCCGGGATATGTAAGCTAAATAAACCCTTTCCTCCCCAAGTTGGTAGTGGTCAGAGTATTTTGTCACAGCAATGAAGAAACAAACTAGAACAGCCACTAAACTTGTTATGGGATCAATCAGATTCACTGCTCTTAAAACTCCTTCCAAACTCTGATCTAATATATACTTTGAAAATATACCAATATCAAAGGAGAATTTTTTACAATGCTGGAGATTATCCATGCTAAGTGAGGGCTGTACCACCAAGCCACAGTTCCAGCCCCCCAAAGATAATCTTTAAAGGCCACTGTGAACCAGTTGCCTCTGAAACTTCCAATGCACCAAATATTAACACCCTTTCTACCTCAGTATCTGACGGCAAAGGGAAGATGAAGTGTGCAGCAAGCTGCTTTTTCACTTAGTTGAAGAAAATCTGATAATAATGATGCACTAAACAGTCCTCTCCTCCTTTGACTTTGTGAGACAGGGTCTGGCTACATAGCCAGGCTGGCCTCAAACTGGAGATCCTCCTGTCTCAGCCTCTTGCGTACTATGATTACAGGCATGTACCACCACACCCAGACTAAATACAGCCTGAATATTACACATTAGACAGCATCTGCCTTTAGTAAGGACTATCCCACTAACCTGTCAAACCCATAAATGAATCAAATGACTCACGAATACTGCAAAGGTACAAATTACAAGCACGGAAACTGTGTCAAGGGCACATTTTCCTAATTTATAAACAGCAGACTATCTGAGACTCTACTTAAAACAGCAAGTTATGTTTCTGATAGCAAAAAAAAAATTTTTTTGGTCTTTTTTTAGAATATTTTATTTATTATTTTTATTTTATGTGTATTCATGTATTGCCTGCATGTAGGTAAGTACACCTGTGTCGTGCAATGCCCATGAAAGACAGAAGAGGCTGTCGGATCCCCTGGAACTGGAGTTATGTATGGACAGTTGCTAGTTGCCATGTGGGTGCTAGGATTTGAACCCGGGTCTTCTGCAAGAACAGCCAGTGTTCTTAACTGCTGAGTCATCTCTCCAGTCCTTTTTGCTCTTTTTTGAGACAGGTCTCCCTGTAGCCCCCAGCTTGGCTAGAACTCACTATGTAGACCAGGTTAGCCATGAACTCACAGAAATCCACCTGCCTCTGCCTCATGAGTGCTGGGATTAAAGGCATGCACCACCATGCCTGGTTTAGCAAAATATATTTTTTTTATTTTATGTGTATGCATGTATTGCCTGCATGTAGGTAAGCGCACCCGTGTCATGCAACACCCAAGGAGGTCAGAAGAGGCTGTCAGATCCCCTGAGACTGGAGTTACAGACAGTTGTAAGCTGCCATGTGGGTGCTGGGAATTCGATCCCGGGTTTTCTGCAAGAATAACCAGTGTTCTTAACCTCTGAGCCATCTCTCCGGCCCCACAAAATATTTTTAATTCATGTTTTTTCAGTGCTAGGGACTGAACCCAGGGTCTCATACATGCTGAGCATGTCTCTACTACTAAGGTACACACCAAGTCCTGAAAATAAGCCAAACACAAAATTTCTAAGGGAAATGAGAATGTTCTTGCTTAATATCCAATTAAGTCATCTGAAGTAAAAAGGACCAAAGGGTAGAAAAACCCAAAATCTTGATTGGGGGAACCTCAAAACATCCACAGTGTCATATATATTGGGTTGAATAATTATTTACAATTATGGGGGTTTTTTTTTTCCATTGCTAATATTAAAGGGCTACAAATTAAATACAGTTCATTTTATTTATTTATATTTAAAAAACAATAAAATACAGGAGTGGGAGGAGGGATAGGTTGGGAAAATGTTTGCCTAGCATGCACAAAGCCTTGGGGTCGAAACCCAGCTACATATACACAGGCATGTACCAACATGCATGCCTGTAATGTCAGCAATCAGGAGGTACAAGTAAGGAGAACCAGAAGTCCAAGGTACAGTCTCAGCTATATAGTAAGCACAAGGTCAGCTTAGATTATAGGAGACCCTATCTAAAACAAAACAAACACAAACACCAGCTTCATTACTGGGAAGATTTGTGTTAGTAGCATATAAGAATGAAACCATTCATTTCTGGGGGAGTATTGGGGTTTTGTTGTTGTTGTTGTTTTTTGTCTTTTTGAGACAGGGTCTCCCTGTAGCCCCAGCTGTCCTGGAGCTCACTATGTAGACCAGGCTGGTCTCGAACTCACAAAGATCCGCCTGCCTCTGCCTCCCAAGTGCTGGGTGGTTTTGTTTTATATTCTATTATTTTTATTTTATGTGTACGAGTATATTGCCTGCATGTATGTAAGTACACCTCTGTCATGCAATGCCATCAGAGATCAGAAGAGGGCATCAGATCCCCTGGAACTGGAGTTACAGATGGTTGTCAGCCACCATGTGGGTTACAGGGAACTGACCCCAGTCCTCTGTAAGAGCAGCCAATGTTCTTAACCACTGGGCCATCTTTCCAGCCCCAGTTTACTCTATTATAAAGTGGGGTGTGGTGAAATGGGTCTTTGATCCCAGCACTTAGAAGGCAGAAGCAGCAGAGGCAGGCAGAGCTCTGTGAGGTAGAGGCCAACTTGATCTACATAGTGAGTTCCAGGCCAGCTGGAGCTATGGAGAAACCCTGCCTCAAAAAAAATTTGTTATGAAGCCAAGTAGAATATTGTTTTTAAAAGCTTTTATGGGGGCTGGAGAGATGGCTCAGCGGTTAAGAGCACTGACTGCTCTTGCAGAGGACCCGGATTAGATTCCCAGCACCCACATGGAGGCTATGAACTGTCCTTAACCCGTGTTCCAGGGGAATCCGAAGCCCTCTTCTGACCTCCGCAGCATTGCATGACACGGGTGCACTCACATACATGCAGACAATACACTCGTACACATAAAATAAAAATAATAAATAAAATATTAAAAAAAAAAAAAAAGTTTTTAGGGGAGCCGGGCATGGTGGTGCATGCCTTTAATCCCAGCACTTGGGAGGCAGAGGCAGGTAGATCTTTGTGAGTTTGAGGCCAGCCTGGTCTACATAATGAGTTCTAGGCCAGCTGGGGATACAAGGAGACCCTATCTCAAAAAGACAAAAAAAAAAAATGCTTTTAGGGGGGGACTGGAGAGATGGCTCTGGCTCAGCAGTTAAGAACACTGGTTGTTCTTGCAGAAGACCTGGGTTTGAATCCCAGCACCCACATGGCAGCTAAAACTATCTGTAACTCCAGTCCCAGGGGATCCGACAGCCTCTTCTGACCTCCGTAGCATTATGTGACATGGGTGCACTTACCTACACGCAGGTAATACATGCAAACACATAAAATAAAAATAATAAATAAATTTTTTTTAAAAAGTTAAAAAAAAAAAAGGCTTTTAGGGCTGGCAAGATGGCACTTGCTGCTAAACCTTACAACACACCTGAAGTCGATCCCTGGAACCCACTGGTAGAAGGAACGACCTGACGCCCATTGAAATTACATCATAAATGAATGGTAAAATGGTTCTTATTGTGCAAACATAAAATAAGCAAAGGAAAGAAATTTAAGTAGAAATGTTTACTTTTTATTTTTAGTAGAAAAGTTTAAAGGGTATTACATGAATAATAAACTTACTTTTCAGATGTACTGGAGAAGATTTAAGTGAGTTAAGCAATGACGTCATCACAGAGACGATTAAAGTGAGTAGAGCAAGCAGTAGGAAAATCCGGCCACTCAGCAAAATGACATCTTTAATTCCTTATAAAGAAAAGAATTAAAATTAAACACTTTCTTATAAAGCAAAAAAAGAATTCTGACTTCTTGATACTAATAATAAATGGTAACAAATTGTTTATACCAACTTGAACACATGTAAAAGTAAGGAGTGTGTGGTTATTTTCATAAGGCTCCTTGGACACTAAACCCCACAGGGTTGTCAATGCCAGAACAAATTTTCAGAAAATAATTCCAGAATAAACATCTTCTGTCTTAGGAATATATAGTGTTTGGTTACATTATAAATATTATGAGTATTGGTAATGTATGAGATTTGTTTTTGTTTCTCCCACAAAGGAAGGAAAATTAATCTACATACTCAGAAATCAAATTGTGAGTGTATTATCTTGTCAAACTCTAGTTCTATTTTAAACAGTCATGCCCAACAAAATAACACACAATTTTTTTTACTCTTTATTTTCTAGGAGGTGTTCACATGCCAAGGTACATGTGTAGATGTCAGAGGCCAACTTTGGGAAGTCAGTTCTCTCCCTCCATCACATGGGTTCTGGGGATGTAACTAAAGTCATCAGGCATGGCAGTCAGTACCTTTCCTAGTTGAACCATCTCGCCCACCCAAAGACTTTATGTTTTCCATACTGGCCTTCAATCTGCCAAGAATACCAAAGGAGACAACCATTCTGACAGCAAAGGGTTCCAGGAGAAAGAGCTAAGTTTCAGAAAATAGGAGGTGCTGCCAGAAGGCCAGTTGTATTTTTTCCAACTCTTGTATTAAATACTGTGATGTGTGGGTCTCTCCCTCCCTTCATGGGCCATTGGCCAACCCACGAGAACAAAGGGAGCAGAAGCGACAAACGGGGTCAGGACAGCCAGTGAGCATGATGGAAAAGACCTCCCGGGAGTCAGATTCAGTGATACAGCTCCATTTATTCAGTGAGGGTCAGGGGAAAATATAGGGTGGAAATGGTAGCCAAAGCTTCAGCTGATAGGTGTTCATAGTATGCTTTATTTACATGTGGTAGGGGGATCCTATCATCTGGCTATAGGGAAATGTCTAATTATCTTATAGAAAAAAACCTGGGGGCAGTTTATTGCCCAAGGTCATGTTCCAAATAAGGCCATACATCCCTGCTTGGAGGCACTTTCCAGATAAGGTCAGGAAGAGAGCAGGAAGCCCCCACTGAGAAAGGGAGTCCTCCATATAGCGCCGAGCTCCTTAGAACTATCCAGACATGGTAGACTGCAACCTTAGCAGCAGGGTCCCCCAACAGTGATGAAGTTCTAGGAATACAGAAACAAATCAGATGTGGTCTCTACCCTCAAGAACTGTATTTCTAGGTACTAGAGAGAAGGCTCAGCAGTTAAGAGCACTGGTTGCTCTTGCAGAGGACCCAGGTTTGAGTCCCAGCACCCACAAGTCAGCTAACAATCAGGAACTCCAGTTCCAGGGGACCTGACACCCTCTTCTGGCTTCCTCAGGCATCGCACTCACAGGTGCACTTACATACATGCAGGCAAAACACTCAAAAATAAATTTTTTAAAAGAAATGCAAGCCAGGAGTGGTGGCACACGCCTTTAATCCCAGCCCTGGGGAGGCAAAGGCAGGCGGATATCTGTGAGTTCAAGACCAGCCTGGTCTACATAGTGAGTTCCAGGACATCTGGGGCTACAGGAAGACCCTGTCTCAAAAAGACCAAAAAAAAAATTATTTTATGTGTGTTAGTGTATTGCCTACATTTCCCTGAGGTGTGTACTGAAGGGGGGCAGCTGTTCTACAATTCTAAGTGTGCTAAGTGATGACCTCACTGACAAGTGACTCAAATATTGGTGCAAAGTAGACTATACATTAGTAGAGTAGAGGGAGATGCTATAAAAAGCAAGAGAGAAGGCAAATTTTGCAATAAGAAGTGACTGTGACTTTTAAAATCAAAGTCTTCTTGAGCCAACAAGAATACTCTGGGTAAAAGCACTTGCTTCACAAGCCTGACAACCTGCGTTCATCTGACCCCTGGAACCCAATCAAAGGCCGAAGGAGAGAACAGACTCCCGAAAGCTGTCCTCTGACTTCCACACTCAGACAGTAATAAAAAATACACATTTAAAAAAAGTCGTTGTATTCCAATATAGCTTTACTAAAGAGTCTTTGTAAATTTTCTTTCTTATTGTTGTTTTGGCGTTTTACTGTTGTTTGAGACAGGGTCTCCCTATAGCCCCAATTGGCCTGGAACTCTCTATGTGGACCAGGCTGGCCTCAACTCACATAGATTGAGTTTATCTGCCCCTGCCTCTGCCTCCTGAGTGCTGGAATTAAAGGCATGGGCACAATGCCTGGCATTAAGGTTTTTTGTTTTGTTTTGTTTTGTTGAGACAGGGTCTTCCTGTAGGCCCAGCTGGCCTAGACCAGGCTGGCCTTGAACTCACAGAGATCCACCTGTCTCTCCCTCCTGAGTGCTGGGACTAAAGGCATGCGCCACCACATCCAGCTAGCATTAAGTTTTATAGAGCATTTATTTTTGCTTCTTATTTCAAGACACATTTCAGGACACCTGACTCCTTGGAGATGAAGGAAGGTGGAGAAAGGAGATACCCATCCTGGATACAAACTTTAGGAGCTTAAGGAGGGAGGGAGACTTGGAAACTATCCATCATCAAAGTCTATTGTTTCTACTTCCTTACTATCTCTAATCTGTACACATTAGTTATCCTAATATCCAATCCCAGTAATCAGCATAACTACTTACCTACTGCAAAATCCCAACTTCCCTCACTACTTTCCACTTCCTTCCAAAACATTCTCCCCACACAATCCAGAATGAGACTTTTAAAAACCTAAGGGTAAGGGGCTGGAGAGATGGCTCTATAGTTAAGAGTACTGGGTGCTCTTGCAGAGGACTGGAATTCGGTTCTCAGTACTCATATTGGCTAACTCACAACCACCTGTAACTCCAGGTCCAGGGGATCTAATGCCTTCTTCTGGTCTCCAAGAGTACCCACATGCACATACACAGATACACATACACAGAAATAAAATCCTGGGACTATCACAAGAAATCTACGGAATGAATGAACTTAGCATCTCACTAGCTTCTACCAACACAAAAGCTAAGAATGCTGTCTGCATCTGTGGTCTATAGGAGAGTTTTCCCTACGTTGCTGAACCCAGCTAACTAATGTACTATTTGTGAAAAGTTTTATTACTTTGTTTTCTTACCATAAAAACTTCATGAAACTGTTACACGTTGGAACATGGAATTTGGGGTGACCTAAATCTGTTTCCAGGCCATGACCACTCCTATTTGGCTCCAATGAACTCATCACCTCTGCGATGAGAGGTTTTTTTTACCTAGTCTGTAGCCTCCCTCCCCTCAATTCCTTGATCTAGCCATAAAGGCTTTCGTTCTCCAACATATCACAATCCTCCTGGAATAGTCTCTGCTCCGCTGGCTCCTTTGACATTTAAACTCTATCTCAATTCCTCAAAAGGTCTTCATTCTATAAATATCTTTATTTCTGGCTCTCATCATGATATGAAGCAGAACAGCTGAGTCTGTCCCTGAACTCCTCGCCCTTTTGCCGAAAGAACATGGCCAGCGCACACGGGGACCTTTTCCCGCCAAAGGCAGCCAGCGACCCGCAACGGCAGTCTGGGAATTGTAGTCCTAGCCGCTCTGAGGCGCCGGAAGCTAGTAATTCTAAGCAACACTCGCGGGAAAACTTCCCAGCTATGAGCGCCAAGGGGGAAAAAGGAACACTTACCGAGACTCGGGATCCCACGCCGGAGTTCCAGACACAAAAGAGGGAGACCAGAGAGCAAAAAGATGCAAACGACGCCACGAGAAACCATGGTGGCGCAGACCCCGCGGCAGCACAAAGCCCGCCCCTTCCTGTCGCGCCTTCCGGCGGAGGTGGAGCCAGCCTTCCACGGCAGGAACCTGGGGAGGAAGTCGGGCCGTAAGGCTGGGGCTTGGCGCCGTGTGAGATAAGCGGCGTAGATTCGGAAGCCGAGTCCTTGGCTCAGAAAATGAAGGTCATCTCTCTTTTGGAAGTCCCAGGAAGCACCTGTCTTCCCAGTGGTGACTGTCCAGTCGCGGCGGGCTGTGGATTGTTCGACGCTGCAGAGCCTAGAGTGGAAGAACAGAAGGAAAGATGGCCCCTCGACCTAGGACAGTCGGTGGTGACAGAGCTTTGTGGGGGGGGGACCTAGCGTACTAGTTTACTAAGCACTTTTAATCTCCCTGACAGTTCTTGTGGGAGGCTCTAAAGCGGGGCCTGCTACCAATTCTCCTGCCCCACACCCCAGTGCGGGATACACTAGAGCCAACCGCTTAACCCCTGTTGTATTGGCTTCATCGTTCTATGACCTCATTGCTAACCTATGACTCACCCCTGGCGCTGCTGCCCAGCCTGCAAATCACTTCATCTATGGAGGTCCTCACCACCAAGATCTCATACTTTTTAAAGTCCCTTTGCATCAGTACTTTCAGTCACCCTGCAATTTAGTTCAAGTAACATTGTGTCCCACAACTTTGATACTGTACAACTCAGAGATTCAAATATGTGTAAGTTATTGAATTTGTCCTCACGAAACTGGTGGGATAGATGCTCAGTAAGGGGGATAAATACAGTGCCTTAAGTTCTGTGATAAGAATAGGTATAGGGTGCTAAAGAACCATATCCTGGGCTGGAGAGATGGCTCAGGGGTTAAGAGCACTGCTGCTCTTAGAAGACCCAGGTTCGAATCCCAGCACCCATATGGCAGCTAACAACCGCCCTAACTTCAGTTCCAGAGGATCTGTTGCCGGTTTCTGACCTCTAAGAGCATGCAGGCAATATACTCATATACATAAAAGAAAACCATATCCTGCAGTATTGAGAAGTATTTCCTGAGAAAGTAATGCCTAGTATATTGTGAAATGAATTGGTGGAGTTTGGAATTTGGGAGACAGGATTCAAAAAAAAGATGTGAAATTTCAAGTTTAGGAAAGTTCAAAAACCTCCAATGCTGAAAATATTGCTACAGTTTAAAGACTGAATGAAAATATGGAGAGGTAAATTGAACCTAGGGCCACTGAAGGCTGCTTTTTTTTTTTTTTTTTTTTAAGATAGGGTCACTCTGTAGCTTTAGCTGGCCTGGATTTCACTATGTAGACCAGGATGGCCCTGAACTCACAGAGCTCCACCTGCCTCTGCCTCCCAAGTGCTGGGATTAAAAGTGTGCACCACTATACCTGGAATGAAGATTGCCTTTTATATAGGCTGTGAGCTTTATTGCTGGATATGGTGGCCTGTGCCTATAAGCCCAACACTGAGGAAGCTGAGGTAGGAGGATTGCTACTGGTTCCAAGCCAACCTGGATTAGAGTGGAAACTTTGTCTCAAGAAACAACAAAACATTTTAGCTTCAAAAGGTTGCAAAATATGAGGACACAATCTCAAGTCAATAATGATAAAAAAGATAATCTGAATCAGCATGACATAGCAGTTAACTAACTATGCTGACTCATTCAGGTATTCCCATTGCTGCCTGTATGTAACTAGTGTCCATGGTACATGAGGACAGAAAAGGAAATTTTTCTTTTCTTCCTGTGTCACCAATTTAATCTATTGATAAGACACCAGTGACTCAGTCTGGAACACAAAGTAGAAGTTTCCAGCCTGGCAAGATGGCCACCTCCCTATCACCACATAAAAGCCAAGTTTCTTACTATTTCTATAATCTTAGGAAAGGAAAGGTAAGAGTGATTTTAATAGAGTTATTTATTCTAGGTTGGAATGACTTGAGGTGACCTTTCCAAAATGGAGATCTCATTTTTTAATTTTTTAAAATTTTTATGTGTATGAATGTTTTGCCTCCATATATATAAAGTGCACCACAAGCTTGCAATGCCCACAGAGGTCAGAAGAGGGTGTAGGATCCTCTGGAACTGGAGTTAAGGTGTTAGCTGCCATGTGGGTGCTGGGAACCAAACCTGGGTCCTCTGCAAGAGCAGTCAGTGCTCTTACCTCTGAGCCAGTTCTCCAGCCCAATGGGATCTTATTGTTATTGGACATAGTTCACAGTATAATAGTTTGGGACCAACAAAGTTAAGAAATAAAAGTCAGATTTTCCACCTTCACCACCTTTGGGGTGTTGGGAGTTGAATCCAGGCCTGAGCTACATCCCCAGCTCTGTCCCTTTTTGATAAGAAAGATGACTTGCCCAATTGAGTATGTATGTAATCCAGCCTCTCACTACTGGAGAGAAGGTAGCTATTTTTGTGAGCAGCCTACTAATCAGATAAATGGATTTTCAGGAAGATCCTAAAACTCACAATGAAGATATGTATTGATTTATAGTCTCTCTTGGAGTTAAAAATTTCTGGAACAAACAGTAAAGTTATAGTAATCGATGTAGAGCTCTGCATCCTTAGTGGTGATAAGATATGGGCTACAGATATCTAAAAACAAACAAACACCTCATGAAACCCCTTAATTGTAGTATGAGTGCAAGGGGGAGGTTTTTGTTTATTTTCTTGGTGCTAATAAAACCAGGGTTTTATGCATTCTTTGTAGATGCTTTAACTTGCTATGTAAGGTTGGACTGGATCTTGCAGCAGTCTTCCTGCCTCTGTCTCCTAGGGCTGAGGTTGCAGGTGTGTGCCATCACACCTGGGCAAAACCATTCTTCATTAATGTTCTTTTTTTTTGTTGCCTTTTTGAGACAGGGTCTCCTTGTAGACCCAGCTGTCCTGGAACTCACTATGTAGACCAGGCTGGCCTCGAACTCACAAAGATTCACCTGCCTCTGCCTCCCAAGTGCTGGGATTAAAGGCATGTGCCACCATGCCCGGCTCCATTAATGTTCTTTAAAGCACATTTTTCTCATTTAAGTGATGTCATCTGTTTTATTAACTGTATATTTTTAAAATAGGATGAGTAGGATTGTTAACACCCCCCCCACACACACACATACATCCTTTGGTCTTTGAAACAGGTTCTCATGTAGCTGAGAACCTGGCCTCAAGGTGAGAATGACCTTGAAATCCTGATCTTTCTGTCTTCACTTCCAAGTACTATGATTGCATAGGTGTGCAAACATGCCTGCTTATCAACACATTTATTAGGCAAGTTCTCCTTATAGCCCCAACTGGCCTGGAACTCACTATGTAGACCAGACTGGCCTTGATCTCCCAGAGATCCACCTGCCTCTGTCTCCTGAATGGTGGGATTAAAGGTTTGTACCAACACATCTGGCTTTTTAATTTTTAAAAACTGTATTATGTTTATGTGAAGTTGTGTGTGTGTGTGTGTGTGTGTGTGTGTGTGTGTGTGTGTGTGTTATATGCATGCATGCTATGGATATCAGAGGACGACCTATAGGAGCTGATTTTCTCCTTCCACCATGTGGGTCCCAGAGATTGAACTCAGGTCATCAGAATTATTAGCAGTTGCCTTTACCTACTGAGCCATCCTGCCAGCCCAGCTTTTAAATTTTTTAAGAGCTGAGGACATAGTTTGGGGATAGAGCACTTGCAGAAGCTGAGGTTCAATCCCTAGTACTGCAAAAAAATTTAAAAATAGCAGGACATGGTAATGTATGTTTATAACCCACTCTCAGAAGACTGAGACAGAATTGCCACCTGGGCTACATAGTGAGACTATCTAAAATACTACATAGGGGCTGGAGAGATGGCTCAGCAGTTAAGAGTACTGACTGGAGAGGACCCAGGTTTGATTCCCCGGACCCATCTGGTAGCTACAAACCGTCCTTAACTCCAGTTCCAGGGGAATCTGAAGCCCTCTTCTGACCTCCACGGTATTGCATGACATGGGTGCACTCACATACATGCAGGCAATATCATACACATAAAATAAAAATAAATTTTAAAAAATACATAAGGGGCTAGAGAGATGGCTCAGTATTTAAGAGCACTGACTGCTCTTGCAGAGGACCCAGGTTCAATTCCCAGCACCCACATGGCAGCTACGAACTGGCATTGCATGACACGGGTGCACTCACATACATGCAGGCAATATACACATAAAGTTAAAAAACAAATATTAAAAAACATACATGGTGGCACATGCCTTTAATCCCAGTATTCGGGAGGCTGGGGCACACAGGCCACTGTGCAGGCAAACACTGGGCAAGAATATGTGCCCTTTGTCCCCGAGGACTGTGTAGGAAATCACACAAAGGTGTCTTTTCATTTTCTTCTTTGAGACAGGGTTTCCTGGTAGCCCCAGCTGGCCTGCATTACATAGTGGTCACTACATAGACCAGGCTGGCCTCAGTCTCATAGAGCTCTACCTCCCTCTACCTCCTGCATTCTGGGAATAAAGGCGTGAACCACCACACCCACCACCAAAGACAACTTCTTGACAAAGCTGGTAACACAACAGATTGCATCACTGTTTACTTCTGGGGTCTGGGACATCGGGTGTGAGCCATTTTTTTGAACTCATAGCCTTCCAGATGTCTAGTGTTAGCTATCTCCACTAATGCCAGAAATAACATTATCAATATCATGTCGTTTAAACATAAACAGGCCCTCATGGCCTTGATTCCCTGCATACCCCTCACAAAAATAGTCGGCACTTAAAATTTTTGACAGTTTTTACACAGACACACACACAAAAGAAAACAGATCAAACAAGAAACACTGTCTTCATATCAGAGATTGCAGTGTGACTATGCTGACATTACAATCACCTGAACAACTAAAAGCCTAACTCTTAGTTTTTAAGAGTGGGCCCAAACACTCTCTCCTAAATATTTCTTGGAACCATCTGTCTCCTGGAACTGTGCTAATGAAACTCTTTCTGGACCTCTGTTTCTGGAGCTGTGCCCAGCCCCACCCATAGTTTTATTCAAAATGGCTTCTTCAGCTTCACTTGGGGAAATACAGGCTTGATTCCACCCTAATCTTAACCGAAGACCCAGCCTTTCCATCCCTAGTTCTAGAATACCTCATTCATCTAACCCAATCTCTATGTTCAATGGATATGGGGCACCACCTTTCAGTGCTTTGATATGTTAATTATCAAATATACCCACATTCATACATTTATTCATTATCTTTTGTGGTTGAGTACCAAATTGAGGTTGCCTAGGAAATGAGATCAGGAGCCAAGGTCACAAGACACAAGAGCACATGGTTTTTCTGGAGTTAATTAAAAGTCATTAGTCCAGGGGATGGAGGCATGGCTCAGTGGTTAAAATCACTGGCTGTTCTTCCAGAGATCTTGCGGTTCAGTTCCCAACATCTACATGGTAACTAACAACTGTCCTTAACTCCAGTTCCAGGGGATCAGGCAACTGCTCTTCTGGCCTCTGTGGGCATTGCATGACAAAGGTGCACTTACACACATGCAGGCAAAATACTCATACACATAAAATAAAAATAAATAAATAAATGAAAGGGGGACCTGTAGAGATGACTCAGTGTTTAAGAGCACTGGCTGTTCTTGCAGAGGACCTGTGTTTGGTTTCCAGCACCCACATGACGGCTACCAACTGCACTGCACACATGGTTGCACTTACATGCAGGCAAAACACTCAGCCACGTAATAAAAAGAGCTAGCAAGATGGTTAGTGGGTAAAAAGAATATTTGCCACCAATGTTGAGGACTGGACTTCAATCCCTAGTAGAAGAGAACTGACTCCGAGTTGTCCTTTGACCTCTACAGGACTGTGGTGCATTTCCTCCACTTTGAATTCTCTTTGACATGTTTATCTGCTTGTCATCGGCTTCCTGCTTATTTTTGACAGTCTATGTAGCCCAGGCTGCTATGGAACTCATGAGATCTTCCTGGTTCCTCCTCCTGAATGTTGGACTCCAGGCATGTACTACCACACCTAGTTGGACATATTTGCATATTTATTAAGAAGGTCAAGCTAACCAAGCTAATTAACCTAATTGTTCTAGTTTAGTTTCTATTGCTGTGATAAACATCATGACCAAAAGCAGCTTGGGGGAGGAAAGGCTGTATTTCCTTTTACGCATTGAAGGTATAGCTTATTGAGGGAAATCAGTGGGAGAACTGAAGGCAGGAACCTGGAGGCAGGAACTGAAACAGAGACCATGGAGAAATACAGCTTGCTGCCTTGCTTCCCCTGGCTTGCTCAGCTCCTCTCATACAGTCCAGGCCCACCTATCCAGGCATGGCACCACCCACAGTGCCCCCAGCCCTCCTGCAGCAATTCCTAATCAAGGAAATGCCCCATAGACGTGTCCATAGGCTAGTGTGATAGGGAAATTTCTCAACTGAAGTTTCTTCTTCCCAGATGACTCTAGTTTGTGTCAAGTTGACAAACACTAACCAGTAATTTATTAAAAAATTTTAAGGTAATTTCTGGGCACAATCAAAACCAGCTTCCTCTGCTGAAACATTCTCAGAGAGGTGGTAGGGACTGATGGTGCCTGTGATGGGTTTAAATCCAAATTTCTCTGACTCTGCTCTTAAATATCTCAGTGTGTCTAACAATATTCTCTCACATAAATACAACAGCACCAAACTCAAGAGATTTCACATTGATGTAGTACTATTTTGTAGTTGCAGATTAGAGTCACATTTTTCCAATCATTTGTAACCAGGCTGGTCTAGAACTCTCCATCCTCCTGCTTCCAGTGGGATCACAGGCCTTGCTTTGCCTTTAGCTGTATTTCTTCATCTTTAAACTGAAGGACTGGGTTTAGTGGCACATGTCTTCAATACCAGTACTCAGGAGGTAGAGGCAGCTGGATCTTTGTGAGTTTGAGGCCAACCTGCTCTACATAATGAATTCCAGACCAGCCAGGGCTAAACTGAAAATCAAAAACTACAGTAATTCCCTGGCCTGGCTTTGGTTTCATAACACTAATCAATTTTTGAAGAGCACTAGAGCTAGTTATCTTCCTCTAAGTTGGGTTTTTTCTTTTAATATTTATTTTTATGTGTATGTGTGTATGGCCTATGTGTAAGTGCACCCATATTGTGTAATGCCCATGTTGGACAGAAAAGGCTGTTGGATCCCCTGGAACTGGAGTTACCGACAGTTGTTAGCTGCCATGTGGGTGCTGGGATTCGAACCCGGGTCTTCTGCAAGAACAACCAGTGTTCTTAACTGCTGAGCCATCTCTCCAGCCCTCTAAGTTGGGTTTTTCTTAGTGGAATCTCATGATCACATTCAGGTTCTGGGTTTTAAAAAATTATTCATGAGCCGGGCGTGGTGGCGCATGCCTGTAGTCCCAGCACTTGGGAGGCAGAGGCAGGCAGATCTCTGTGAGTTCAAGGCCAGCCTGGTCTACATAGTGAATTCCAGGACAGCTGGGGCTACAGGGAGACCCTGCTTCAAAAAGACAAAAATAAATAAATAAAAAATAAATAATTCATTTATTTTTATTTGGTGTGTAGGACTGTTTTGTCTGTACGTATGTAAGTGGACTCATGTCATGTAATGCCTGAGAAAGTCAGAAGAGGGGTGTGGGATTCCCCTGGAACTAGAGATTGTTAGCTGCCATGCGGGTGCTGGGAACGGGGTGCACTGGCTGCTCTGAACTGCTGAGTCATCTCTCCAGGCCCTGGATTTTTTTTTTTTTTTCCTTTTTTAAGAAGGATGCTTGCATAAGTGAAGTTGAACTCTTTATTACCTCACACCATGAGACATACAGCAGCACCTTTCTCATTACTTAGCAGGACTTAATCTTGATCTTTTGGCCAAGGTGGTGCCTGGTCACACTGTTAAACTGTCCTTTTCCCCTTTGTGATCAATAAGGAATCTGTGGACATTTCTGAATCTGCATATATAACTTTGTACCCAGTGATGTTACCAATTATTAATGGCTCCTGACGAATCAATTTTCACTATGACAGTTGCACAATGTTTTCACCTTAAAAAATTGCCAGGCATGGGGCTGGAGAGATGGCTCAGCGGTTAAGATCCTGACTGTTCTTGCAGAGGATCAGGGTTCGATTTCCAGCGACTAACACTCATCCAGAACTCTACTTCCAGGGGATCTTACGCCGTCTTCTGACCTCCGAGGGCACTGCGCGAAACGGGTGCACTTACATGCAGACACTGTAGTCATACACATAACATAAAAAATAATAAAATATTTAAAAAACAAAAAATTGCCGGGGGAGTTGGAGGCCAGTCTGATCTACATAGCGAGTTCCAGGCCAGCTGGGACTACAGGGAGACTGTCTCAAAACCAAAACCCAAAACCAAACTGTATACCCTAGGCATCGCCTACGGGGTCAGGGCCTCGCGGCCATGTGCTGGTTTCTTTCCCATCCGGGCTTACAGCTTTGTGCTCACGTGAACTACTACACACTGTTCTCCGAGATCTCCTGGGTTCTTGGCCAAGTTGAGTTGCTGGTTAGATTGTCCAAAAGGGCTCCCCAGGCTCTTCTACAACCTGAGAAGACAATGCTGTTTGTCCTTATGCTTTACGGATCATAAACATTGTTTCTGCCATTCATCCACTCAACCATTCCAGCGTTTCTCAAACTAGTGGTGCTGAAGAATCCCTTGAAAGCAGAAGGAATCGGATCCGGGTAAAGGCCTGAAAGAATCTGCACTGCAGGCATCTTGGGCTAGACCGGCATGGCCCGGCGAGGGCTGGGAGAACCCGGGGAGCTCGTGCCGCCGGGCAGGCACCCAGGTCGGCAGGTGCAGAGCGAGCGGGGCCCGGTTGGGGGCAGGGCGGCCGCAGCTGCGTCACGCTGAGTCTGCGTTCGCCCGCCCCCGCCCCCGCCCGGCCCAGCCTGGCCAGCGCAGCGTACTTCCGCGCATGGCCTTGCTGCCGCGGGCGCTGAGCGTTGGCGCCCCGAGCCTGCGGCGGGCTGCGCGAGCGGTCTGCGCCATGGCGTGCAGGCAGGAGCTGCAGCCGCAGGGCGCGCCGTGCGCCGCGGACTGCTTCGACTACTTGGTGATCGGCGGCGGCTCGGGTGGACTGGCCAGCGCGCGCAGGGCGGCGGAGCTGGGCGCCAGGGCCGCGGTGGTGGAGAGCCACAGGCTGGGCGGCACTTGCGTGAGTACCGGCGTCCGCCCGCCCCGGACCTCCCTCGGGCCCTTGCCTGCCACGGGCCCTGGTTTCCCGTCTCGGGATGAGCATTCCGCACCCGAGGCCCGGATCCCTTTAGAAGCAGTGTAAAGCCGCTTTGCGCGCCGCGCCGGCTGCAGAGCCGCTGCCCTCACAGGTGCATTATTAATGGAAGCCGCGGCTTGTTGAGTCCAATAGAACTTTGACATCCGCCTCCAGGTGGGAGAGTATTGCAGCCCACGTCGGATCCAGGAAAGGCCGAACTACCCCTGGGAAACTTGCTACCGACCTGGGGGCGGGAGGGCCAGGGGAGCCCTGAGGAATGGGGATCCGATCTAAGGAGGATGTGAAGGGCAGCGAGGTGGGTAGCGGTATCCCCAACCTTGGCTACAAACTTGAATCCCCCAAGTAAAAGTTCTGCGTGAGTTCCGGCGCGTGCAGGGCTCCTGGCCGGTTGGAGGTACAGCCGGGCTTTGGCAAGTTCAGAAACTCGCAGTTGATCTGAATTGCAGCCCATGCAGCGAACCACCAGATACCTCAACAGAAGGCTTATAGGTGCTGTCTCGGATCTGTAGTTTTGCCTTGCTTTGGAACAGTTTATAAAATTACACTTGCACCACACCCTTAAAAAAAAAAAGGAAAAAGGTGGTAAATTTTAAGTTCGAAAAACTTATTTTTAACGTAGTTAAAATATACATTAGTGTGACCTTTTGCTATCCCACGATCTCGGTGAAGTTCTCGCTGCTGACTGAAAAAGCTGAATCCTAGACTCGCCTGAGGTCGGGAATAGGTTCTCCAAATTCCTTCGAAGACTGACGTTTGACTTGTACTAAATTGGGAATAGCGTCGGGGCTGGGATTGTTTTCTGTATTTGTCCACCTCTCGTGGCCTTAAATACCCTGTTCAATAACTATTTGCGACATGAATGAATCTGGAGAGGAACAGCTGAAGAGTAGGCTGACTCTATTGTTCCTGAACCCGGGGAGGAGGAAGAAACATCACTGTTAATTATTGATTTGCACTTTGACAGTTGAGTGCAGAAAGTCTAGAAGTCTATCTGCAGAACAGATTGAGGGTTGCTGCTCAGAGCCCTCCTTCCCTTCCCCCCAGGGTGGGAGTTCAGATAATTTCTCACGGCTGCAACTCTACACTTTTCTGTTTTCCTCCTTGTTTATATCCTCATGGGTTCGTGGCATCTGCTGTCTTTGTTGATTCTATAGAATTCATCAGGAAGGGGCTGGCCTGGTGTAGGTTCCTGTTAGTATTGTGAGGATGGAGCCCTACAGCAAGACAGCCCAAGCTGCATTTCACTTGCTGTCTGCTGAGTACCTGGCCTTGCCTGCTCATGTTCCCTGCAGCAGCTTTTATTTCCATCTGAGCTTGATTTTTCTGGGAAATCTCTACTGTTTTAATGGCATGGCTTCTGGCCTCTTCTAAACCGGCTCTGGGTTTTGAATTCCAAAGGGTGGGGATGCAGCAGGAATCAGAAGATGTAACCATTGAGTGGGTAGATGCGGATTTAGATTTGCCCAAGGATTGCAGCTATATATGTGGCAATAGTGAACTGACCACATGCAGTGACTTCTAGGCATGTGCAAGGGATATTGAGGCTTTCTGGAGTACATCCATTTATCTGTTCATGTGTTGGGGTGAATCACAGATTGAGTCGGATACAGGGAAAAGAGTATCTAGAAATATTTTTATGACAAGGTCTGTTTCTTCAACGAACTTAGTTATGTTGGGGAGACCAAATACAATCAATCTCAGAGTGGGGTAGTCTTTTTATTTTTTGAGACAAGGTCTCCTGTAGTCCCGCCTGGCCTTGAACTCACAGAGATTCCCCTGCCTCTGCCTCCTAAGTACTGGGATTAAAGCCATGTGCCGCCACGCCCTAGCTATGTGTCTTTTTTAAAAAATATTTTTTTATGATATATGTATGAGTGTATTGCCTACATGTATGTAAGTACATCCATGTTGTGCAATGCCTGCAGGGGTCAGAAGAGGGCATCAGATTCCCCAGGAACTGGAGTCATGGACAGTTGTTAGGTGCCATGTGGGTGCTGGGAATTGAACCTGGGTTTTCTGCAAGAGCAGCCAGTGCTCTTAACCACTGAGCCATCTCTCCAGCTCCCACACTATTTCATAAGGACATTCTTTTCAATAAAAAGAAGTGATAAAGGAGCAGGGGAGTTAGCTTAGTCAGTATCTCAGTCAGATGTTTGATGGATAAGCAGGGATCTCCCTGCCTCTGCCTCCCGAGTGCTGAGATTAAAGGCATGCACCACCATCTCTCCAGTTTTTAAAGAACGTTCAGAAGGTACTAACCTATTCTTCCACTAGTGGTTTTTATCAAGATTGGTATTTTAATTTTTTTTTCATTACATTTATTTATTTGGGGGAGGGGTGCACATGTCACAATGTGTGTGTGGAAGTCAGAGGACAACTTACAGAAGTCAGTTCTCTCCTTCTACCATGTGGGTCCTGAGGCTTGAACCCTGGTTGTCAGGCTAGGCAGCAAGTTTCTTTATCCACTTAGCCCTTGCTTGCCCAAGACTATGTTATTTTTATTCTGCTTTTTTATTACAGGGAATTGAACCCAGACCTTGTGCAAGCTAAGTACGTGTTCTACCACTAAGCTATATCACTAACCTTAAGAAAAATATTTCAGAGCTGGAGAGATGGCTCAGCAGTTAAGAACACTGGTTGTTCTTGCAGAAGACCCAGGTTCGAATCCCAGCACCCGCATGGCAGCTAACAACTGTCCATAACGCCAGTCCCAGGGTATCCAACAGTCTCTTACCTCCGTGGGCACTGTACGACATGGGTGCACTTACCTACGTCCAGGCAATACACACATACACATAAAAGAAAAAAATTTCAATGAAAAATGAGAAGCTTATAATCCAAGTAAAGATCGTCCTTTAATGACTTCTAGCCTTGTATTTTTGTTTCATGAAATACTGGACTCATAGACTCTAATAGAAATTTGGGGAACATTTTTCTCTAATAACCTTTGCTACACTGAGGAGCAGTCAGCTAAAGCACAGTGGAGAACACCCAGGTAAGTGTACTGTACAACCTGTGGAATTAGCCATCAAAAACTGGCTTTAGTGCATTGTATGGCTTGGTCTGTGGTCTGATGAAGGTTTGTGAGAATTACTCTCCAGTAGAAGGGAGAGACTGCCTCACTGTGGTTCCTTTGGTTGTAGCTCAGTAGTAGAACTCTACTCTTGCCTAGCATGTGTGAGACCCTGATTTTGCTCCCAGAACCCCCCCAAATAAATACATAGCAAACTCCCAAAACTCTTAATTAGAGGTCTCCCACGTGGGTCTGTACCCCAAAGCTCCTAATTTAGTATTTCTGGAGTCAAGCCCTACAAGTGTAATTTTGGAAAAGCTGTACCCATATTTTGGGGTGAGTAAGACAAAATGACCTTTTGTCAGGGTAGGGACTAGGAAAGCATGAGAAGAAATCTTGAAAACCCTGAATAATTGCAGAGAGAAGAGAGTCAAGCAGTGTGTTTTGTCCTACGGTCCTTAATTTCTTTGTTTTCTAATTTCCTTATGGCATGCTTTGTAAATAACCTGGCCAGAGCTGGGTGTGATAATGCATACCTTTGATCCCAGCACTTGGGAGGCAAAGGCAGGCACATCTCTGATGGGGAGTTCAGGCCAGCTGGGGCTACAGGGAGATCCTGTCTCAAAAAAAAAAAGAAGAAAAAGAGAAAAGGGCCAAAATAACCAGCCCGGAACCTCTTCCAGGGATGTCTGCATGGTGTGAATGCTTGCTTTGATGTTTGGATCTCTGGATCTTCGTCCACAAGGCTTTATCCAACTCTCCTGTGATACAGTGGATAGGCTCTTCCTTGAGGCAGGTGTATTGAAGGTGATGAGGTTAGATAAGTCATGGGAGTGGGCCCTGTGGAGATCTTATTAAGAGGAGGAGAAGAAACTAGAGCTTGCATTCCTCTCTCATGTGAGGGCTCAGGGAAAAGGTGTCCACCCACAAACTAGGAAGGGGAGCCCTCACTATGAAGCAACTCTGCCAGCACTTGGCTCTTGGACTTCTCAGCTTCCAGACAGAGAACTAAGTATGGGTTATTTAAGCCCTCCAGCCTGTGGTATACACCTTTAATCCCAGCACTTGGGAGGCAGAGGTAGACAGAGCTCTGAGAGTTCCAAGCCAGCCAAGGCTACATAGTGAGACCCTGTTCTAGTTTGCTTTCCATTGCTGTGGCAAAACACTGACTGATACCAGCTTGGGGAGGGAAAGGGTTTATTTTGCTTACATCTCCCAGGTCACAGTTCATCACTAAGGGAGCCCAAGGTAGGAACTCAGAGAAGGATCCTGGAGGCGTGGAGGAACGCAGCTTACTGACTTGCTTCCCTGGCTCATGCTCAGCCTGCTTTCTTATACAATACAGAGCAACATGCCCAGGGGTGGCATGGCCCACAGTGAGCTGGGCTCTCCCACATCACTCAAAAATCAAGAAAATACCCCACAGGCCAGTACAGTGGAGGCAATTCCCCAGTTGAGGCTCCCTCTACCCAGGTACGTCAAATTGATGGCCAGACCCTGTCTCAAAAAAATAGGAGCTGGAGAGATGGCTCAGCAGTTAAGAACAATGGCTGTTCTTGCAGAGAACCTGGGTTTGATTACCAGCAACTACATGGCAGCTAACAATTGTCTCTAACAGTTCCAGGGGATCCTATTCCCTCTTATGACCTCTGAGGGCATTGTACGACTCCAGTGCATTTACATACATGCAGACAGAACACTCATACACATAAAATAAAGATAAATTAAAGGGGCTGGAGAGATTGCTCAGTGGTTAAGAGCACTGGCTGCTCTTGCAAAGAACCAGGGTTTGATTCCCAGCACCCACATGGCAGCTAACAACCATCCATAACTCCAGTTCCAGAGGAATCCGATGCCCTTTTCTGACCTTTGCAGGCATTGCATAGCACTGGTACACTGATATACATATACTCATACACATAAAATGAATAAAAGTAATAAATTTTAAAAAATCAAAAACAAAACAAAACAAAACAAAAACCCCGACAACAAAAAGGGAAATCAAGGCCAGGCTGGGTGTGGTGTTCCACACCTTTAAGCCCAGCACTCTGGTTTTTTTTTTTTCTTTTTTTTTAATTTTATTTATTTTTATGTGACGTGTATGCGTGTATTACCTGCATGTAGGTAAGTGTACCTGTGTCATGCCATGCCTGCGGAGGCCAGAAGAGGTTGTCAGATCCTCTGGGACTGGAGTTACGGACAGTTGTTAGCTGCCATGTGGGTGCCGGGATTCAAACCTGGGTCTTCTGCAAGAACAACCAGTGTTCTTAACTGCTGAGCCATCTGTCTCTCCAGCCCCAAGCCCAGCAGCCTTGAGACAGGCTATGAAGTTGTTTCTGAGGGATACATTTGAAATGATCTTTGAATCAGTTTTTGAAGTCTCCCCCAAGTGAAATCTACTATGTCTCATCATCATGATCACTCAGCCACAGAAGGCGAATGGGAAGTTGGCTCAAGAACAAGGTGAATTGGAACCTCTGGGTGCTTTGCCTCTGTGACCCAGGTCACTACCCACGCAGACCTTGGAAGAGTCTCTGGGAAGATCCTCTGACTTTGCCCCAGGCCTGCAGGAGCACATGCTCCCTTGTACTTGGTTGAATGTAATGATTCTGGGATAAAGAGGAATGCAGTTCTTGTGGGGTCGTGTGGATCTTGCCTGGCAGAGTTGGATGGTAAGGGTTGATTGAGTGTCAGTCTCTAAGTTACCATGAACTGTGCTGCACAGCACTGCGGAAGAAACCCCACAGGCCTGGGAAACAGGCTGCTCAGAGGATGATGGTTCATCTAGTCTGCAGTGATTCAGCAACATGCGAATTGTAACCTAGCTTGGAGTTGATAGTGTGTACTTTGACATTATGATGTGCATTTCTTTTTTTTTTTTTTTTTTTTTTTTGTCTTTTTTGAGACAGGATCTCCCTGTGTAGCTCAAAAATAATTTTTTTTCCCTCTTTTTTGAGACAGGGTCTCCCTGTAGTCCCAGCTGGCCTGGAACTCACTGTGTAGACCAGGCTGGCCTGGAACTCACAGAGATCCGCCTGCCTCTGTCTCCATAGCAGGGATGAATCTCACCGCATAGGCCTGAAAGAATAAGAGAGGTTTCCACTTAGTAGACTTCTTCAGTAGCCTACCTGGGTACTTCACATGAGTTTTTAAGAAGTTCTCCAGGACCTTATTCTCTTCTCATTGACTTTTGTTCTTGAGAAAAATGGGTGAAAATGTTCTACTTTATCATATGAGAAAAACAGCATTGTTTTCCAGCTCTGTGATAGGATAAAGAAAATAACTGTAGTCTGGTGATTGTGACTCTGACTCAAGGATTCCTCCTGTGTGGGACTCAGGGCTCATTCCCTGCGGGTATGTGATGGCTTGGACTGAGTATCCTTAAAGTGTGTCTTTTTCATTTTTGCCCTAGGTAAATGTCGGATGTGTACCCAAAAAGGTAAAAATTTTATTTCTCCTTCCCTTCATTCCTTGTTTGTGTTTGATAAATTGTAATCAGATAAGGATGTTTCTAAACATATCAGTTAAAATTCTTCTTACAAGGGCCAGAGAGATGGCTCAGTGTTTGCTTACATGCATGTATGTTCACCATATGTGTGCCTGGTGCTCACAGAGGCCAGAAGAGGGCACTGGATTCCCTGAAACCAGAGTTACAGATGGTTATGAGCTGCTGCTGCTGCTGCTGCTCTGTGTGTGTGTGTGTGTGTGTGTGTGTGTGTGTGGTGTGTGTGTGTGTGTGTGCTGGGAACTGAACCCAGGTCATCTGCAAAAGCAGCAAGTGCTCCTAGGCTCTGAGCCATCCCTCTGGCCCCTTAAATTTTATTTTTGTAGGACTCTACCAAGTTCATAGTGCTTTTGTAGTTTTGTTTTTGAGAGAAAATCGCACATCATTGAGATTGTCCTGCAACTCACCATCTAGCCAAGGCTGGCATTGAACTCATCTACTCATGATCCTGCTTCAGCCTTCTCCAGGGCATGAGCTACCACACCCTGCTGCTTTTCTTGGTACCAGCCTCTTAATTTACAGAGCAGTTGGAAGTAATTTCTGTCAAAAGGGTGGAGTGACAGCTCAGGAGCAAGCACCCGTAGGCTGGGCCTAATTTGCCTCTACCACATTGCCTAGATCTGAGCCCCAAAGCCTCAAGCGGTCCATATAGAGGCCCCCCTCTCCAGAGGGGGTGTTTGATTTGATTGCATGGCACATAAAAGTGGAAATATCACCCTGTGATGACACAAGGGAAAGTGATATTTATTAACATAATTTATTTGTGGTATTGGTAAATGCATTAGGATAATGAATCTTAAGAGATAAAGTGGTTAAAAAATGGTTGGTTATCTAGAATTCTGGATGCCAGTTTGATTCTTGTTCTTTTGTTGACCACATGGCATAAATGACCTCACAGAGTACAGGCTACATTCCACAGAGGTGCATGCAGCTGTTTTATAGGTATCTGATCACATCCTTAAAAGGGCGGGTTACTGCCTACACAATTGGATTTCATTGCCTTAAAATTTTTAGCCCTCAACTAAACTAGCATGACAGTCAACTTGCATGTCTGTTTTGAACCTTACAAGCCTTGTAACTTTTTTCTAAATTGCAAACTTGTAAAGTTGCAGATATATCCCATCTCCTGGAACTGAATGAAAAAGAACATGGCTTACAAAAATAGAAAATTTAGCTGGGCGTGGTGGTGCACACCTGTAGTCCCAGCACTTGGGAGGCAGAGGCAGGCAGATCTCTTTGAGTTCAAGGCCAGCCTGGCCTACATAATGAGTTCCAGGACAGCTGGGGCCATAGGGAGACCCTCCTTCAAAAAGAGCAAATAATAATAATAATAATAAATAAATAAATAACATGTGTGGGT